TTTAGAGATTCTGTGTCTGCTATAGGTTAATATTTGGTTTGTATGCTAGGTTGATATTCTTGTAGTCAGTGTGTGCTAATTCAAAGAATATTTCAAATATAGTCAAAATCGTCAGCAAGCAAAAATAACATTGAATTTATGTGTAAACATGTAGAATTTTGAGGATCAGAAGTCCATCTAAACCAGTGTCCTGGTTCTGGGAATAATTACAAGTCTAGTGTCGAGTAAAAGCAGAAGAAATAGAATCATAGAATGGCTGGGTTGAAAGGGCATTAAAGACCATCCAGTTCCAATCCCCCTGCTGTGAGCGGAGTTGCCATCCATCAGATCAGGCTGCCCAGGGTCTGGCCTTGAATGCCTCCAGGAATGGGGAATCCACAGCTTCTCTGGGCAACCTATTCCAGTGCTTCATCGCCATCTGAGTAAAGAATTTATTCCTCACATCTAAGATAAATCTTCATTCTTATAGTTTAAAATCATTTCCCCTTTACCTATCACTGTCTGCTTATGTAAAAGTCTCTCTCATTAGATTCACTTGGGCCCACTTTTCAACCCTGTCCAGGTCCCTCTGAATGACATTCTTTCCTTCTATTCTATCAACAGCACCACTCAGTTTAGTGTCATCAGCAAACTTGCTGAGAGTGCCACAGCCTAGGTCACTGATAAAGACATTGAAGAGCATGAGTTTCAAGACAGAACCCTGGGGAGCACCATTGGCCTCCACATGGTCACAGAGCCATGGACCACAACCCTCTCTGGCTGTGACCTTCCAGCCAATTCTTTATCCTCCAAATAGTCCACCTTTCAAATCCATATCTTTTCAGTTTAGAGATAAGGATTTGTTGTGGGACCATTTCAGAGGCCTTGGAGAATTCCAGCTAGACAATACCAGTTGTCCTTACTTTATCCACCAATGCCGTTACTCCACACAGAAGGCTGTATGTGTATGTTCTTATTCTGAACTATCCTTGCAGCCTCCAGTTATTTTCAGACATTTTTGTATTTGTGCACTGAGTAACAGTAATCATTTTCTTCCTCAAATTTGCCCAGTTTTCCCTTTAAGTTTGGATGAGCTTTTACATTCTGCAGTATCATTTGCCAAATACTACAACAGTTTTTATTAAAACTGTTGTCTTCTGTTTATTCGGAATCCTATCCTGTTAACTTCACTTGAAGCTTCCACTTAGATTTACCAAAGTAGTACAGTACAGGAGTGGCCTTGGTCCCAGGAAATGTGTTAAAAGGAGCCTTTTATAGGATCATAGAACCATAGTGTGGTTTGGGCTTGAATGGACCTTAGAGGTCATTTAGTTTCAACTCCCCTGCCATAGGCAGTGTTACCTTCTACTAGAAGAAGCTGCCTAGGGCCTCATCCAACTGAGCCTTGAACACCTCCAGGTATGGGGTATCCACAGCTTCTGGGGCAGCCTGTTCCAGTGCCTCACTGAGTGAAGAAGTTATTGGTTAGTGCCTCTGAGTAAAGAACTTATATCCTTATATATTCCTTATATCTAATCTAAGTCTCTCCTCTTTTAGTTTAAAATCTCTTTCCCTATTTCTACACACCCTGATAAAGAATCCATCTCCAGATTTCTTTAGACCTCCTTAAGGTACTGGAATTCTGCTATATAAGGTCACTCCCAAGATCCTTCTCTACTTCAGGCAGAGCAAGCCAACTCTCTCAACCTTTCTTTGTAGGAGAGGTACTCCAGTTCTCTGATAGTCCTTGTGGCCTCCTCTGGACCCATTCCAACTGTGTCATGTTCTTCTCGCGTTATGGGCCCCAGAGCTGAATACAGTACTCCAGGTGGGGCCTCCTGACAGCAGAGCAGAGAGGGAGAATCATCTCCCTCAACCTGCTGATCATGCTGCTTTAGGAGCAGCCCAGGATACAATTGGCTTTCTGGACTGTTGCTATCTTATGTCTCCATCCAGTTTCCTGCAGCTAAATACCTTTCAAAGATTTCCCCTTTTACCATACTTTCAGACAGCCTTGAATTCAGTTGATCAGTTTCAACCTACCGGGCAATTCAATCTTATGTATGGGCTGTCAGACACAAACAAGAGCATTTTGTCTGCTCTTTTGTGGTGTATAAATACACAGCGATCTTTTTCATGCATGAGTACAGGCGAATTGCTCTACTTCTGTGTTACATCTGTGGACATCTTCATGTCCATAGTATAGCAGCAATGTTTTAATGTTTTTATGCTGAAAAAAGGTGTACTACTTTCATACTCGTCTCTCTCCAATTTGTCAATTTTTGGCACATGAAATTACATTAATCTGTAGGACTTTTCATTAACAGAATAGTAGCCTGAAAAACTTAATTTAAATTAGACTTCCCATCTGTTGTTGCTCTCATTAGTGTAATTATTGTTTGTGGTTTATGTCCATAAAATCAAACAGTGAAGTGCTTAGTAAAGCTGTGCCATACATACTGGTCAAGAATAGAGCATATGGAGCACAGAGGTGTGGCAGAATATTCTTCTAACTTCTCAATTTAGAGAAATACTGAAGACTTGGAGGAAACTGTCTAAGATTTCAGTGGAAAGAAAAACACTTAAATGAAGTAGTAGAAAAAGTAGCATGAGGGCAAAGCAACAAACTATCTTCTTGAATAATATGATAAAGTCATTCTCTTTTTCTGGAAAACTTATAAACTAAAAGAAATAATCATGTGTTATTAAATATGATAAACAGCTGTCTGGAGATGAGCTGCACCTACAGCCTTATCTGAGGCTTTGTGATTGATGAAATATAATTTCTTTTCATGCTTTGATATTTAATGTATTCTATTTTTCCCTTTTTTAAATTGTATTATTGTATAGTGTACATCTTTTCCAAAATTGAGCAACAAATTACTGTTTCTTAGTACATACATGGTTTTGATTTCATACTGACGTTTCCTCTCACAGAAGACAAACATATTAATCAGTCTAAAATTGTTTAGATTCAGTAGACCTTTCTTCTAAAAGAATTGCTTTGAAGGAAGTTCTTTTTTCTGAAGTTAGTGGCAGTTTTCTCATCCGCTTCAATACTATGAGCTCTTGATGGTCCCTTTTGAACGCAGTTCCTCTGCATACAAATATCAGTACTCTCAAAAAGAGGTAACAAAACTTGAGTCTTGTAATGCCATGCATTCAAGGGAAGGTCACACAGCTGATGTGATTTATGCATTGAGGATCCTGTTTCTTTGGCTGCCCCTATAGGGAAACTAGAGAGTCATCTCCCACATGACATGGTCCATGTTAACTGGTGTACATTGTACATGCAATGTATGTATGTGAGAAAGATACTCACCAGTAAGTTTGGTTTTCTTGACTGGTAGATTATATTTACGTTTGTTCTTTCTGGAAAGTACATAAGTTCCATGCAAATTGTTGCTATTACAGAGTAATGGTGGTGGAAGCTTCATGGAATAGAGAATGGGTTTATAAGTCAGAAGTGCCTCTTACAGTGTGTTCTCTTGGTAAAGCTAGGGGCAGGGAATCAGTGCTGCCCATTACATATGAACAAAGGAAGCAAAGCTTTGTACTGTTTTAGTTTGGACAGAGACAGAGAAATGTTAAATGTCTGAAAAGATTCAGGGTTAAATGTTTTTTCATGATAAATTCTCAAGTGTCATTGGCAAGTCTCTCAGTATACAGTTGTTGTAGCTGAATGGGTCTTCAAGTGGTGCCAAATCACTGGATTACTGGATTTTTATTATTTGCTGGTATGTGGGTATGAAGCATATAAGGCATCATTATTATAGGGGAAAAAAAAAAAAGACTGTTTTAATTCAGTTTTGGTTTGGTTTGTTTGTTTTTTTGTAAATGCAAGCATTTATCTACTATATTTTTACGTTGAAGGATGCAGTCATTAAATTCAGAAAGCCTACCACTGTTTTGGTCCTTTTTGCATTACTTGCATTGTTTTATTGCATTTCTTTGAGTGTCATGACACTCAAACTGATTAAAATAACAATGCATTTCATAGAACCTAGAAAATGCTTTGATCAAAATTAGCTGAAACAGAGTTTAATGTACTCTGTTATTTGTAAAGTGATAGACTAGATTTTTCGAGTGAGTATGTACTCTAATGTATCAAATAGCCAGCTTTTTCTGCAGTGTCTCACAGAGAAGTGTGCTCCAAATGTTTTTTGGAAATATTCTTCTGGAAAATGTGCTTGATTTTGAGAGTGCTGTCAGTATAAAATGCAATGTGTCGTATTAATAAAAGTAACTAAAATATAATGTGTTCTGCTCTGACCTTCCCAGTGTGTCCTTATTAATAAGGAGGTAAATGATGTGGTCCATTCTGCACTTTGGGCACCAAGAACTTGATGTAAACCTTGTCATGTAATCCTACCCTGGTTATTAAGCATTCTTATTCATTAACTTCATACAGGACAAATATTTATCCTAATGTAATTAAATTGTTAAAAGATCACAGAATCACGGAATGGTTGAGGTTGGAAGGGACCACTTGGGATCATCTAGCCCAACCCTCCTGTGCTTCAAGTGGAATCACCTACGGCACATTGGCCATGATTACATCCAGGCAGGTTTTGAATATCTCCAAAGAAGGAGACTTTACAACCTCTTCGAAATGAAGAGGTTATAAATGTGTTTCAGTGCTCAGTCACCCTCACAGTGAAGTTTTTTCTCATATGTACATGGAACTTCCTGTGTTTCAATTTGAGCCTGTTGTCCTGTCCACCACAGAAACAGCGTGGCCCTATCCCGATCTCCCTTAAGATATTTGTACACACTAATAAGATCCCATCAGTCTTCTCTTCTCCCAGCTAAACAGGCCCTGCTCTCAGCCTACATAAAAGTACATCTTTATGTGTTCAGAAGTATGCAAAGTATGTATTGTTGTTATTAATCCATTCAGAGTACTATATCATCTTGCTGTCAAGGTCACACTGTGCAGTTAGAACCATCATGGCATGTCTGGTTGATAGATGTATCTGGTAATTCATTTTTAATTACTATGGATTTTTCATTCTTTGTAGGTGGATGATTCCAATTGTGATGCTGAAATACTTTCCTTGCTCCTCAATGCCAAATTAGTGGTAAAGTGCATATCAACTGCCTTCTATCCTCGCCTTATTGACCACTTGCTGGCTAACCAGGCAGAAGGAAGTTGGGATGTAGAAGAAATAGCAAAACAACTTAAAGAAGCAGGGTTCAACGCAGAGGCAGGATCTCTCTTGCTGTCTTATCGAGGAACTCATCCTTCACTCAGGACTTTTACTTCTGCCCTCCAGACTATTCAGCATTGGATTTAATAATGTTGGTTTTATTGATTTGTCTGGCTTTACTCTGGAGGCCTTCTACAAAAGGGAGAAATTGTTGTTCTAGTAACAAAATAACAAAGTTAGCTATCATTACCTATGTTTTGAAGAAAATGCAAATAGCACACTTACAGTGCAGTTCCATATACCTCTAATGGTTTAAAAAAATTATTGGTGTAGACAGTATAATTGTGTAATACGACTAGCACAACAATGAACTTGATAAAGTTTTCTTACCAGAGAAGAATGTTAAATGATTACACTCTGATGTATAAATGAAAGTTAGTAATCTGATGGGCTATATACAATTTGTCTTAATCTCTGTATGTAATTTACTCTTGTCATAATGTAAAACTAATGTAAAAATATAAAGATATATGGAGCAAAATATCACAATGAAAAGTAATTCCTGAGAATTTCAAAACCTTAAAGTTTGGTATTGTGCAATGTTGTTTGCAGTAAGTAAAATGTTTTACATTTATTGTAGTATCTCTTTTTTTCTTCTTTTCTCTCTTCTGCCTCTTTTTCTGGAATTCCCATTTCTCCTTAGTGATGCTTATTTGTAAGGACAAGCTGGACTTTCCTATGATTGCATACTGCTTTAATCTTAGAAGCATTTTTCTCTGCAGTTTGGGAAGCCCCATCTCAAATCCATGACGTTTATTCGTACTTTTTGTGTGAAAGCACTTTCAAAGTATTTTACTTGATTTCTGAAAAATTGCAAAGATGTGTTGGTTTCCAAATGCCTTTTTGTTTTAATAAGTCAAAGGATTGCTGATTTATTTTCTAATTTTTTTAACAATAGAAATGTTCATCTACGACATGCACTACTGTAAGGTTTTGGTGTTCCATATGTTAATATAAATTTGTTGTTAAAATGGATCTGTAAATCTTTGGCCTAATTTTGTGTTCAGATGTAGTTTTTATGTTATAATGCACAGAAACCTTAGACACCATAGGATCACACAGGTTGGAAGTGTCCATGCTCCAGGAGGAGATGTCCATCCTCTTCCTCAAACAGGGTTCCTTTGTCGGAATGGGTTGTTCAGGGCTTTATTCAATCAAGTCTTGAAACCTGCCAAGGATGGGGTCTGTGCAGCTCTGCCAGGCAGGATGTCCCCATGCTAAACAAGAGGAGATACATATATAAAGAGTTTCAAAGCCATTTTGTTGAAGCTTCTGCCATTTCTCTTATTTTCTCACCATGCATGCTGTGAAGAACTTGGCTCCACTATGTAGATAACCTTCTGATATGTACTGGAATGCCATATGGAGTCCTTCATTGACTGCTCTGCTTTCTTCAAATAAAAATGAAGAAAAATAACCCAGCAACAACAAACACATTCTCGCTCAGTGATTGCAGTTCACAGTTGAATGATGGATGTATCGTGCCTACAGTACAGACAATGGCGATAGATTCAGTTAATACTGGTAACAGTCAGAAATCAGTGTGGATGCAGCACTGCCAGTATATTTTACTTTTTCCAAGCTTTCATATGACATGGAGATAAGTGATATGTGAGTTCAAGCCAGAGGGATTTCAGAAATAAACTTCAATCATCATAGCCACTACCCAAGCAGCCAAGCACATCTGTGGGTCTTGGGCAGGTCTGAGTTAATCACCTTCAGTGCTGACTAAGACTGAGCTCGAGCTGGTGACCTGGGTTGGGTGTCTTCATACTGAGCACTGTGGAAAGATTGAAATCCTGGCAAATAATGCTGTAGGAACCTGCAGTGGGAGCTCAGGGTCAGGCTGTCACTCTGCTAATAAATAAGCTCTCTGCAACCTCAGAATATGATATAAAAGTTTAAGCAAATCCTAGCAGCGATAGAAGGGGCTAGTTTGCTGTGTTTCCTCTGTGCTTCAGCAAAAACATTTGTTTCTGAACTTTCTGTTTTTTGGGATAGGCAGGCCCTTCATTATGCGGCGTATTAATAAGCTGACTATTGAGACAGTTTCTAAATCTCCCTTTTTCCTAGTGCCAGCTTGAATCATAAAGTGAGAGGAGTGGATTAAGAGCTTGAAGAGCTGTTTCATAACACATTTGTATTACTGAGTTCCTTCCTAGGTTTCACGGTTTAGCACTGGGTGTTATATTTGTGGAACTACAACTGATTCTTGTTAGCACTGTCTTTGATTTGGGATCTGTTTTGTTGTCTCCACTCATATACTTTGTGAAAAGTGTTTGGGTGTTTGCTTCCCCACCTTTCTTTAGCATTCATAACGAGATTTTTAGGAGTACGTTAATTCTTAAGAATATTAGCTTCTTTTGTACTAGCTGGTCACAGCTGTCCTTCCGTGTTTTAAGGAAGATGATCTCATTCATGTATCTGATGTACTACATACCAAATTCAAATGTATATTATTCAGTTATGTTGCCTTAATTTTGCTTTCTTACACAGTCTCAAGAGACCTGAGTCTGGTGCAGCAAAGTATACTCAAACTGCAGAGAAAAGAAGAGAAAAGCTTAGAAAAACACAGAATCATAGAAAGGCTTGGGACCCCAAGGATCATCAGGTTCCAAAACCCCCACCACAGGCAGGGCCACCAACCTCCACATTTCATACTAGTCCAGGCTGCCCAGGGCCCCATCCAATCTGGCCTTGAACACCTCCAGGGATGGGGCATCCACAGCCTCTCTGGGCAGCCTGTTCCAGCACCTCCGTACTGCACCTACTCTCTCTATAAAGAACTTCCCCCTGACATCCAACATAAATCTTCTTCAACTTAAAACCATTTCCTCTTGTCCTGATACTATCTGCCCTTTCAAAGAGTTTCAAAAATGAAATGTAATTGAAAATCAGTAGATGCAGACAAACTGGATGACGTGTCTCTTGCAAGAAATCTTTGGATTATTCTATAGAATATATTTCTGTACTTAATGATATTTTCTTTTTTGGTCTGTTTGTGTTGTTCTCAGGTTCATAGGTAAGCTCATAGCTGAGTTTTCTGACTATGCTCTTTAAGGGTCATGAAAAGTTAGTGTTTAGTGTCACTATAGAGCTGAGCTGTAGTTAAAGTTCTAATGAGCTGTATTGATTTTCTGTGTTCTGTTTTGCTGCGGTTACAAATCCATGAGAAATGCTTTCCCTCTAGCCACCACTACTCTTGATTTATCCTGTATACAAAACTTGCACCAATAATGAACAGTTTAGTATATACATCCAAAAATAATTACCCTATGTTAGTATATCTTCCAAAATGAAATAGAGGAAAAAAAAGAAAAAAAGAAAGAAAGCTCATAAAAAGGATATGTGTATTCCAGTGCTAGCTTTTTAATAGAATGTTTTATATTTGAGGCCATGAGTGACTAAGATATGCTAACAAATAATATTGTCTTGTTTCTTGGATATATTTTTTAAAGGCTTAGGCAATCACCTTGATAATATTAATAGTATTCAACACAGTACAAAAGAGCTGAACTGGCACGTGAGACTGCTCAATTTTGTCAGTTCATTTGATTTGTTTGTTTGTGGTGGTGAGGTTGTTTTTTTTGTTTTTAATCCTACTTTGCTAGAAAAAACACTGGTTAAGGCTTGCACCTTCAAGGACCAAGGTAGATGCATCAAAGTAGCAAAATATGTCACATTCCTTGTGGATGAGTAGAACCAGAGATTTGGGAACAAAGATCATAACTCACAATGTCTTTCTCTGCTAGATGTCATAAGTGAAGACAATATGTCACAGCAACTCAATGCAGAATGCTCACTTTTGTATCTATAAACAGTGCAATTCAGTGCTTGGAGTAGCTGTGTTTGGTTCAGTTAGTTTCCTTGTGCAACAATTCCTAAATATGGATACCTTTATCATAAAGGTAAAAACTTCTACACTTGAGAAACACTCATTTTTCAAGCTTGTTTTAGCTACCTCTATTTTCCCTTCAAAACAGCAATCTTGTTGAGTATTCTCTACAAGGTCAAATTTCACAGTGGCCCACAGACATTAACTGTGCTTTCCTTAGCAGAAAACAGGGTGTGAGGTGACACCTTGGACCATTTGCTTATGGGAATGAAGATGCCTAGCCAGCTCTTGTACCAAAGGATGTGCTTATGTAAAAAGATAGCATGACAGTAAAACATGCAGGAACTGAATATACTACCCGCTTTCATCTGTCAGCAGGTGAGTACTGAACCAGGAAGCTCCAGTTGGAAAGCACACTGAGGTCAGGGCAATATCAAACAACCACAAGTGAAGTATATGGGAAAGGGGCCAAGGCAAAGATTTTGCTAAGGTTGTACTTCACTGCAAAACACAAAGTGCCTACCACCTTGCTGGTTTATTGTACTGACTGATGGTGATAGACAGGAGGAAGGGAATGAACGCAAAACTACCACTGCTTTGTATTTCAGAAAAGAATTATTGTAGCATACGTAGCCATATGTGTTGCTGCTTAAAAGTTTGCAGGTTCCCACATTTATGCAGTTGAAGATCCACCCTGCTGTGATATGCTTTCATATTCCATTTGTTTCAAGTTATGCCCCTAGTTTTTCTTTCAGAAAAAAAAGGAAAAATAAGCAATAACAATAATAAAAAAAAGGTTGTTCACCCTCTCTGTTTTTATACACCAGTAACATACTCAGCCATGTCTTTTCCAGCCTACTGAGTCCCCCTGTACTTCTTCATTTCTACATGCTATTTGGTCCTCTTCCTTTTTTCTCTGTATAATTTTTACATTCAGTTTATTTTTTGTGCTGAATGTTGCAGACACATGAAATGTTCATAGGGTGCCATAAAAATGTTTGTTGAGTTGATTATTTGACTGTTACTGAGCATCTAAAAGCAGTTTTTGTGTAGCGTTATTCATTATGACCCTGAGCTCTCATTCTACATTGTTAGGAGTCATCTGGAGTTACATTCCTTTCTACGCTTGTGCAGCTTAAAATTTTCAGATTTTTTTCCTTTTGTTACATCATCCTGCACTTACAAATTGGATTCTATTTACCAGTTTATCACCCAACCAGAAAGTTTCATTAAGACTTCCAAGAGGTTTTCATGCAGCTGTCATTTTTACTACAAAAAAATGTCTTTATCAGCGTGCCTTGACACCTTTACTATTAGTCTCTTTTTGTAGACACAAAATGGTAAGCCCGATTCAAGTGCAACTGCCTGCACTTGAAAGCATCTAGCTCATTTTGCTGAAGATTAGGAGTATAGAAGCAGAAGTGTATATTAGGGTCCCACAGATGGCCAGAAACAGGCTTTTTTAGGTTGGTTAAATGGCTCAATTCTCCATGAGAGCTCACTGCCCTCAGCTTTCATGTATATTTCCTCAGCGATGCTTTGTTACGTGAGGTAGAGATGCAGCGCTGCGTTTCCAGTGACTGAGCTTCCCACAGCAGAACAGGAAGCTTGTAGCAATGAGCTTCATTTTTCTTTAGAACCTACTATTTTTTAACTAGGTCTCGTATCTTCAATAGGTAATTATAACAGCAAAGAACTCGTAGAAAGAAGGAAAGAGAAACATATATATTCTTTCTAAGTCTGTCTGACTACTGTGACCTTCAGAAATGTGAAAATCTTGTTTACTTTGATTTCTTCATATAGTGATAAATTTGATCTGTCTTTTTTCTGGACTTGCTTTGGGATTGGCTAACAAAGAGCATGGCTTGGTCCTCATGCTAATGGCTGTGCTATTTTTCGTTATTGATTGAACCATTATAGGATACACTAAGCTGTGCAAACAGAAGATAAACTCTGAGGTTATGTCTAACTCAGTCACAGCTAGACAAACTATTCAGCATTTCTACCTGAACAGAGACTGTACTTTCTGAAGCTGCCTGGGAGTGAATGGTAGAGACTATTAACAGCTTCCCTGTTGCACTTCATCACCCCCTTCTTGTGTCACCCATCAATACCAGATACATGACAGTGATTTTTTTAATCTATGTTCAATCTATTTATATGTGGTTGTTATTGAAATAGCCTTAGAAATGGAAATATCTAATTCTGTCATTGATCAGCATGCGTAGCTCCAGCAAAGCCGAGTACAAATTCTGTAAAAACTGAGAACAGATTCATTTTTCTGAAGGGATTCATTCTTCTGAAATACTATTCTCTGGTAGCAGGTGGGGCAAGCCAGCCTTTTTTCTCAGGGCACAATTTATAAGGAAAATGGAGGAAAAGATTAGTTAGTGTCAATCTCTGGCGAAAGTTGGCATGTATAAACCTTGTAATCAGAGTTAAACATGCATTGTCCACTTAACTTGTACTCCTTTCCCTCTGAAATCAATGTCCTCAAGCAATCTATGCTGACACTATGACACTGAATGTCTTAGCACAACATTTCTAGGTTCGTCTTGCTTACAAGGCACAGGAACAGCAAAACCAGCTTTGCCTGAGCTCTG